AATAAAAATCGTATGTAAAAGTTATAAAAACTCAGGGGGGCGGCATTGGATATCGACCCAATATCCATAACCAATACACATTCCATTAATCTTTACATCAATTAGTCGTGCACTTAAGGCTCGAAACATAAATTTTTATTTTTATTTAATGTCCTAATGCTGATTTCGATAAAAATATCTTTGAAAATAACAGAATAGATCCGAACTTTGCTGTTAAAGTTGATCTAGAATATAAATGTACTTTTCGGAATCGGAAATGTCTCCTTCATGCGTTCTACATTTCGTCACAAAGTTTTAATACCTTTTTCACGGGTATAAAAAGTGAAACACTTTTGTTTCTTTCATCTCTGCTGCACTTAAGCCCCCGTCTTCGGGGCAATTGTCTTACTGTCTGCGCTCTTTAAAGCGGATATCGAACGTTATCAGTGAAGCAATCTTAGAGATCTTAAATAGTAACTTTAGGCTTTAAATGATTATCACTTTAATATTTTTCAAAAAAAAAAAACCAATGTAAATAATAAAAATTTTAAGAAACAAGGTTTTTGCTTAAAACTCTGCCTTATTTTTGGTTAATTTACATATTTCAATTTGCATTTTGATGGTGCATCAAACATCTTACAAGAATATGTTCGTTAACCAAATAACATTTAAAAATATTCTTATGTGGAATTTTTAAATGATTTTTGTATACAATTTTGGAACCTTGCGCTGTTGAAGATCAAAACTATAAACTTGTTTTTCAATGAAATGTTAAACAGAATCCATTATATATTTATTATAGATGAGTCAAGCTAAGTATTTAATAAAGATCCTAATCAGAAGGCAAAAATTTCCAACATGGGAGTATTTTATTTGTCCTTTCGACAAACTAAGCGCCATTTCATAACTAATTTTGTCAATGACGTCTACAGATAAAAGGTGTAAAAAAAGTACTTAAATAGATACAAGTAACTGAAAAAAAGAGGCAAATAAAAGCAATTAAAGAGAGTAAAGAATTTTCTGTGGCGTCATATTCCTTGGCTATAGCAAATGCTGCACGCAAAGGCAACAGTTTCAACAATCAAAGTTGGCTCCGCTGGCGTCTAATGTTCGTGTCATGAATTTGCACAAATTATGCTAATTCCCAAAATTACAAGCCGCAAAATATTATTTTTTTTTTTGATTTGTCGATTTGTTTTGTGGTTGTGTCCGACAGTTGGCTGCCAGTTTTCAATATTTGCACACTGGACGCTGATGCTTTTGGGCTATTGTCAGGCACAAGCGCGGGGGAAAAAAAACACTAAAAACAAATATCAGGAGGTGCTAATTCGGATTGTAAGTTAATTTTCAATGGCTGTTTGTGTGTTTAGTTCGGTGAACTCAGTCTGATGTGATGCAATGCGGAGATGGGTGGCATGCCAAATATCTTTAAAATATTTTTCAAATATCTTTAAAATGCTGCTGATGTGCGAAATTAAAAAGCAATTAACCGTCTTAATAAGCGTACAATGGCCGACAATGCCAAATGCCAAATATCATTATCATCGCATCCCAAATTCATCACAGTATTGACAATTGATTTTTATCGGTGAGGCGTGGCTTGGCTCGGTTGGTTTTGGCCTCAATGGATAGAGGTTAGCTCGGGCGTATCCGCAGGTGCCACTTTGGTGGCTTGTCCAACTGATAGACGCAGAGACAGACAAACAGACTGGCTGACAATTCGACAGAGTTGGTGTGTGAAAGGCTGAGTGCGCTCCAACCAGGCCTGGGATTGCGTTCAAACTGTTTGGAGCCATGTAATAAATAACGGCGCCTGTCTCCAGTCGGCAACAGGCAACAAACAACAAGATATAACAATCATGTTGTGGGTGATTACATAAACTAGACAGCCGGACAACTTTATTTCAGGCCCGGCACCCAGCACCGGGCACCCAAATGCACCCGCAAATGCTGCGTGATTTGAAAGCAATTTGCTGTTTTCCTTGTTGCAAACTGATATTTACATTTATCAAAATATAATTAACTAAGTAGTACGTGCTGCCAACAGCTAGCGAAAAACGCACTGGCTTAAATGTATGCTCACTTAATTAGGAAAATAGGCTCTGGGCATTGCTCTCAAAGCCAATTTCAACACTCGCACAAATAAATCGCTTAGTAATTTATTAATTGCACTCTCGCATAAACAGCTAGCAAGACATTTTTCGAAATTAACAGCTTGTTGCATTTTAAAAATTACATAATAGTCGTCGAGCTGCCCAAAGAACTCCATGCCAACAAACCCAAATAAATGAATGAGAGCTAAATAAATTTGCAAAACTAAAATAAATAAATAAAAATGATCATGGCACACGCCCAAAACGCCTCAGCTCAGGTTTTGCTAGCCAGACAAATATGTTGTTGCAACTGCCACACTTTGCAGTTGTTGTTGTTGTTGTTGTTGTTGCTGCTGAAAAGGCGGAACACATGCATATGCAGCATGTTGCTTAAAAAAATTAAAATAAAATAAAATATGAGCAAAAGATGGCGATCTGGTTGCGCACGCCGAAAAAATTACACACATTCGCAAGCATTTTGACAACTCTAGTACTCAGAATACTTTGGAGCAAGCACGATTGCTCAAGTTGGGAGTGCCCGACTAGTAGATATCCTAGAAGTCTAGACTAGACTAGAAGATATCCTTCTATACAAACACACATGTACTTACGCAAGCTATCCGATCAATTTGATATTTTCAGCCCAATTATGGCATATGGCAAATATAAGTTAAATAAACATGCCCCAAAATCGATTTATCCCAATTATAAATTGTAGACGAAGCTCGTTCTGTTCATGCATAGAAGAATATATATCTAAAATTTTCTAGGACAGGTTTCCGAGCTCGACCTGGCTCGTCGTCCTTTTATGAGCCAGAGATGCCTGTTAAATACATTATACCCTTCCATACCCTTCTTCAATGGGTTCAGTTTCAGAGTGGCAGTCGACAATTAACAGTAATTTATTTACAATTTTTGCTTTTATTTATGTTTTTATTCGCTCAGCTTGATGGCCCTTTATGGCATTCACCTGTTCGCTCTCGAAACCTGCTCTCAAGTTGAATGTCAATTCCAATGGCTTGTCTGACACATTTATCATACGCACCGTAAGCCGTTATCTTGTTGAGAAGTGAAAAAAAAAAAAAAAAAACAGAAATGCATTTAAATGTCGCAAGCGCAAACATCTCTCATAATTCAAATGCCCAGCGGCACAGACGACTCTGACTCCGACTCCGACTCCGACTGCGACTCGGCAGCTGGGCCACATTTGTGATTGGATTCAATTGGCGAAACGCACTTTGCAATTTTGCAATTCAATAGGCGACGCGTCGGCATTGAAGTCGACTCCAAGCCGTAGTCAAAGTCGTACTCGTAGTCTTAGTCGCAGTCGTAGTCCAAGTCGAAGCCGTTTCGTGGCATGTCATCAATGGCAATTTGTTGCCGTTGCGTTGCTTGCAATTTGCTTTATGGCACTAAAATATTGTTGTTTTTCCATTTGGCAGACGTTTTGTGCGAGGACATTGAACTCTGGCGTTTCCTTTGGCATTTAAGCACTGCCCAGACCGCACAGTCAGGTTCTTGGCACAAATATTTGCGCTTAACTTTTGGTTAATGCATCAATCAATATCTATTGCGTCTTATAATAGACTTATGACAAATCTATTTAGCTACATATAAATCAAGTTTAATCATTGCAAATGACTCAGCGACGACTCAGAGCAGAGCCCCAATTCAGATTCAAGTCACATTTCCGTTTTGCTCGCCCCGAGCTATGTTCGTGTTTCGGCCACATTAATAATACAAGCTTTAAAGTAAGTGCTATAATTTATATTTAATATTTTAATTATAGCATAGAATTGCCAGAGCACGGCGGGGCGTTCTCGAGTGGGTGTCTCCCCTTCGGCCCCCACAGTCCGTGCTGATTTCTATTGGCAGCCCGCCACGCGTTTAGCTTGATGAATCGAAATTTTCAATTGGCACAAATGAAACTATTTGCTAAATAGATTGCTTTTAATTAGCTAACCTTTGCCAAGGTCTTTTCAACTATTTTATTTTCAATTTCTTGTACACTTTTTTTTCTGTAGTTAATTATTGCAATTACAGAGGCGATAAAAACTGTGGCTCAACAACATAAAGAAAAAATATAAACCGCCCAAGATACATTCTTATCTAGATCAAATGATTTGCATAAATTGTGCAGCTATGCAAATTGCAGCTAATTTTTATGATCGCTGCGCCAAGCTTGCCAACTCATTCATACGACTCAAAGCTATATTAAAAATAAGTAGATTTATTTTACCAATACAGCAAATTAGTAATTCTACACAGCTTTTGTGCACCTGTAAGACACTGTCGATTCATGTTCAAAAGAAATATGGAAGACATCAATAATTTATTTAATATATAAAAAAAACTACAACTATGTTATATGTTATATATAATCAAAAACCAACACGTTCCTTTAAAGTAACTGACTGACTCTGCAAGAGCAAATACAGATTATATGGTAATCATAAGATATTACTATCACTAATATGTTAAAATCAATGCTTCAACCGGTTCAAGCCCGAAATTCAATTCACATTTATTACGAACCCAACCTTGAACCAGAACACTTTCCAAAAGATAAAAGAAACAACAATAATATTAACAAACCTTAATATGATATAACAAAATTTTTAGGTAGATTCAACTAATATATTTTTACTTACAATATTAAGAAAATATGACACGTAAAGATTTGAATCAGACCTAAGATTGAATCATAAATCTGTTAATCTAAATTGGCAATTAACAGATTATGGTTAACAGTCATGTTTTAACAGGCTTATGTTAAGTTAAGCACCACACTGATTTAGCCGAACTTACATTCTCACAATTTCATACACATAATTTACTGCATGCCATATTTTAAGTATTGAAACTTCCTCATTTGTGGCCCAAATACTCAACTCAACTCAATTTTTCTTCATTTGAAATGTTTTACAGGAGGGCAGCATTGGTCACGATCTGGTCATTAAACCTTTGCCACATGAGCTAAGTCCCAACAAGGAGCAGGCCCATCACATTGTCTACAAACGTGCGGCATCGGGCACTGATGATCAACTAAGTGATTTCGGTAGGTATACAACATTTCAATCTTGACATATAACCCAGAAAAAGATGCTTGTATTACATAGAGTCTGTAACGCTGATTAGCGCTACATCCATCTATTATGCCTTTGTCTTTCACCAAAAGTCCACCTTGGCCTGACATTGAGCCCCTGTCATGGGTAGCATATCATTCTTCATTTGTTCCGCGCTAATCGGCATCTGTATCGGCAGCGTGCGCGCATCTTAAATAATGGGCACATTGAACTAGAAACCATCTCTAAGCTCTAAGCATAAATCTGCCCGTCTCCGAGCCAGTCAGTCAGGCGAGAGAGATCGACGTGCACATGATTAGCATTTCCTGTTCGCTTTGCGGCTCTTAGCGTGAGTTCAATGTGAGGCTTGAACTTTCGATGTCGCCGTCGTTGCCGTACACGATGTTGTCCTTCGCCGGATGCATTTACCTTTGCGGTTGGCCGGTGGCGCCAAAATACCACGCGTTAATTTAGTTGCACTATAAACACGGTTATTTTATGGATGGTATTTCGGCATTTACACGATTTTCGGCTAGCCCGGCACGTAAGCAAAAACGATTTTGCAATATCTTTTTTTTTTGGGGGTTGCCTTATAATGAGCGAAAAATTATATTAAGTACAGTTAAATGGGCAGCTACCTGACTTGCTTGGCAATAATTAAGCGATTGCATTTCATTTCATTGTGATTCATTCGTCATCCTTCTCTTTGCCCATTGCAGCCTTCATGGAGCCAGACGATCTGTTGGCCAGTGAAAAACTTGAACGTCTGCAGCGCCGTCAGCGTCGAAGCCGCCGCAGCAGCGGTAATAGCCCCGACTTTGAGGATCTCAATGACGAGGACGAGGGCAGCCTGGACACAGAGGCAGACCCGGCTGAACCGCATACGTCTGAGTCGCGCTTGCGCTCCAGACGCCAGGCCCCGTACGTCATCTATCCCGAGGTCTTGGTGATTGTCGACTACGATGGCTATCGTCTCCATGGCGGAGACAACCTGCAGGTGCGTACCACAACCCAAGGGGCTCAGCCCATGAAGTTGTCATTGGCATTTATCCAGACAGCCGGCCGGACAAATTAAATTGCCAAAAAACTATACACTCCCAGCCGAGTCTGGAGATTTGTAAAAGTTGTTTTGGCGATTTTCGAGTCAGATAGAAGGGAACGTGTCTACGTACACACAGAAGACAAGGCGCACATAATAATTGGGCCTTATGCACAGCAAAAAGCCAAATAGAATAAACATTTAATTAAGCGCAGGTAATTGTCTGTGCGTACCTGCACGAAAGGCGCCCACAAAGATTCAAATATGATTTTAGATTGGAAAACTGAGTTCATATAAATTGTAAAGAGTGGCTCGATGAAGTGTCATAACTCACGTTTTCTTGATGTTATCATTTTTTTGAGCTTTGTATACTCAGAACTCATTCAAAATGGGGGTATGATAATTTTGGGAACATGTACGTAACGGGCAGAATAAAGCATCTTGGATGCAACAAAAATTAACTTAATTTATATATTCTCGTATATTAAAAACGATTTTTGAGCGAAATCGGAGTAGCTGGAGACATCAAGCTTGGTATCAGAAGAATATACACACAGGAAAGTTCGCATGTTAATAATGGCGCTAGGCTTAGGGTATCTCCTAGTCGAGCATTTCCAGCGCTCTTACTGGTTTCAATTTGGCCAGAATTATTTTGTTTCTCTCAATCTACTCAGTTGTGCATTTGTTGTCTATTTAGCTACAGTTCTTAGCCCCACCGACACACCTGCTTTGTATGCATATCACTCAGTGAAGATTAATGGGGCTGCCTGCCATTTGGGTGCGATCTTCTTGTTGCCGTAAGCGGCTTAGATGAAAGATGAAGCCTGCGACAGCGACAACTGCAGCTGCGGTTGTTTCTGACGAATGTGGGCAAAGCAGATAACCATCAGGAAGATCCACTATTGGGCGTATAAATAAGCATGATACTTAATTCTTAAAATCTTTTTTTTTTCTCTCTTGTGCAGGTTAAACGTTACTTCATCTCATTCTGGAATGGTGTCGATTTGCGCTATCGCCTACTGAAGGGACCCAGAATACGCATCAGCATTGCTGGCATTATTATCTCACGCGTAAGTACTAAATCCATCCACAAGCATTACGCAATCCCGTAGACGGCTGCTTAACTTTCACTTAACTAATTGAGTTTGCGAAGTCAACTTTGACCCTCAGAGCCAAAAGGGGCATTGCAATTGGAGCAGATGACGGCCGCAGGCAACCAAAAAATTTATCACGATTTCGTTGCCAATCGTACTGAAAATGGGAGAGGGTTAGAGGAAGAGAATAAAGAAACAGCAACAACATGCAACGTATGCGCTGCAAATTCGATTCATTAGAAAAAAATGTGAGCAATCAATTTGGGCATTTGTTTGGGCCATAAACAAAGCAAAGCTACAAATTATAACAAGTTTTTTTAGAAGCAAATACTCGTGCAGGCAGCACGAAAGAAGAAAAAACAAACACACGTTACTAAATGCCCAAGGAATTAGCAAAGTTTGCAGCACGCAAACAAAAGACTCAGGCAACGAACTTGCCAAAGTTGTCAGACCCAAATAGAAATGTCGACCGGCAGCAATCGAGAAAATCAAAGCACATTTAACCGGCTCTCATATCCACATATTTGCGCAATCCATCATGGTTAGCTTAGTCACAGCGAGGTCTTAGATCCTTCATCAGGCAACATGGCAGCTTCTTCAGTCACTGTGCAATGGCCGTTGCATAACCAGACCAGACCATAAAACACACTCTGACAACATTATTACATCGACCGTTTGACTTTCTCACACAAGTCTCAGCGCGCCGGTCGCACAGTTCAGGAAGCCATTTGTCGCAGCCGGCAGAGGGAAGAGTCTGGCAACGGACTATCCATGCATACGTATGTGTACCCGAACGGGAAAGTGGTAAATTGGCGCAGTTTTTCCATTGGCACTGCCACCTGCACCACCGCAAACTGATTGCACTCTCAGTTGCAGCAGGCAGCGGCCCACACGTCCACGGCTTACCCTAAGTACGTCAATTGGTTGTGGCCGACGCGACACACACGTAAACAAAAAAAATTGTTTTAGACAGCATAAATAATGCAGCAGCAGACTCTGCAAAATGTTGTTGTTGTCGTCGCTGCTGCGTTGGTCGCAGTTATATAATTTAATGGGCCGCGTCGGCAGCTTAGCTGATGTTTAGATTTTTGGCCAATTTCATACAGCGACTTCCTCTTCTGTGTCGCTGCCGTAAAGCCAGCCCAAGCAAGTACAGATACATGTATACGTATCTGATAGATACAGATACGCCGGCTGCATCCGTCGCTAAACGCTGGCGAGCAGCACATTTTTTTTTTGCCGCTAATTAATGTTGAAATATATTTCGCTAGCCATAAACAACAAATCCAAATGCGAATTTATGACACCAAATTCTAACATGTTCGAGCTGCGACTTCGGCTCCGACTCAGAGTCGGGGCCAAGTAATTACTCAGAATTTGCAAAGGGGCTACAAATTATACGATATTGCATATCCGATAAGCCGATGAAGTCTGTTTGCAAATATGCAACCGCTTAATGGAATTGAAACAAAGTCACGCATTATATTTGTAGAAGGAGGCGGGAGGAGAGGAGACGGATACGGCAGCAATCATATCGAGCAATAATAAATTTTTTTGACATATTAAGTATAACATGCGATAAATGTTTCAATTCGGAATTAATATACCCCTCTCAGCTTGGGTTACCCAACAACAAATTGTACGGCCCAAAATGTTGCTAACTTTCTCAAATAACCATTAATTTAAAGTACTTCAAATTAATGTTCTCCCAACTAAAGCTTTATGGTTGGACATATGATGCAAGCGGAGCTCTAGTTCCAGGTCAGCTCTATTAATCATCTGGCCAGTACTTTGAATACCCTAGTGAGGGGTCATTTGGTTTTGTCAGACATTTTCAGCCGATTAAATTATATATAAATTCTCAATTTGGATTAAGAGCCGCATCGACTGAGTATGTCCTTGTGTCCGGTTGTTGGTTTCTAGGCAAACTAGTCGGAGTCGTTCGGGTCAAACCTTTATATCACATAGCTACAATGGGAATCACCTTTCACAAAATTTGTTCTTGTAAGAATACCAATTTGCTGATCAATGAACATCTTTTCTATGAACATGTTTTTTAATATATCGTCAACTTATTCCGCATTTCCTATAAGATTTCGCTTGTGCAGGGTGGTTATATTTCGGTGTGACAATGATATCTGTTCTTTCCTGTTTTCATTTCATTTGTGGGCAATCATAATAAGTCGTTGCTTCAGATTTATAAAGCCAACACTGTCTCAAAGGCTGAATGCGATAATTAAATGAATTGGCGTGGGCAGCTGACGCTGTGCTGGGCTACCGTTGAGCATAGTCGACCGAATGAACTTTTATCTGTGACATTTAATTAACATTTTAATTAATTGCGGGCAACTTTCCGTTAGAATTGAGTTACACCTGCCCAGTCAGCCGCCGCGACCCCGCAAAACGAGCCGCCTATCGGCAACATATCGCCATGCGTACAGCCAGGCGACAGCCGACAACCGACAGCTGTACAAGTGTCGAACGTTGCGCTTGCGCCACAAACATTTTTCAATGCGGCAGCGCAACGTTGCGTATACGCAATTTATTATGTGCGTGTCGCTGTATTCAGGCAACCACAACAACAACAACAAAATAGTGTAAATCAGTATATATACATGCGTGTGTGTGTGTGTGTGCACATTTAATATAGCAGCAAATTGTAATTTGAGAGCCGTATACTAACTGGCCTGCACTCGATTAGAATTTCAGTTTAGCCATAAATTGAAGTTTGATGCATTATTAAGTTGGCAACTGGAAACTAGGTTGGCAGTCACCAAAGCATTTAAGCGCCAACTTATTGTTGTCTCTCTCTCCCACCTCTCTCTCTCTCTCTTTTAATTGGGGGGCGGCGAGGGGTTCTCATTTGCAGTGTTTGAGCAGAGAACGCCTTTAGATTTATTTGCACAGCCTTGCGAATATTTTGAGTTACGCGCTTTGTCAGTTTCATGTTTTTAATATAATTTATTATTTGATTTCGTTTATTTTTCTATTTGTCTGAGCGTTTTGTTGCAGCAAGCATCGATTAATTGCGCAAATTTAAACAACACAAACATTTTGCACAACGCCGCCTTAAGTAATTCTGCTGGTTATTTGTCAGCGACTGATTAATTTATGTGAACATAAAATGAAATAAATGGCCATCAGGCTAAACTATTAACTCCTTTCAACATTCGGGTCAAGTATTATAACTTTTCGAGAGGCCTTCAACAAACGCAATTGTCAATGTATTGAAATCAGAAGAAAGTATTTCGTAAACAAATTTTTGATCTGATTTCGAGCTCAGTTAAGAATTTTTCGTGACTGACTTATGTCGAGCACATGTGCGGCTGCCAATCAACAATCTCCAGTCAGGCTTATCTGGTTGGATTTATCAATTGCCACGGAAATGTCAAGTAATGTATATTGCCACACCCAGACCAGATCCAGACCCAAAAATAACACACACACACACACACACACACAGACACAAACACATTCAGAGAATTATTTTTGAGGCTCATATTTGCGAATGTCATAACAAATTCCTTGCTAACGAAGTTTCAAATTCAAGTAGCTGCCAGGCCTCGACCAGGTGTTGGCCCCAGGGCAAATTGTATATACTAAAATATGCATCTGGTATAGACATATGTCACGAAAGCAGCAACTGGAAAGCAAAGTGCTTATCGTCGTCGCAGTTGTCGCCACAGCCAGTAGCTGGAACTGCAAGTGCCAGAAATATATAAATTGCAATGCAGCTACAGCGAAAAAGGAAAAGTATGCCCCAGAGGCCTGACCCAAAGGCGAAATACAAAATAAAATTATAAACCGAACGCGACAGCGCCGTGGGTGGTGTCCGAAAGTGGCCACTGACTGTCGCCCAATTCCATTCCTAAAACCCACTGACTGTGTGGGCGCAGCCGCTATCCAAGAGTCAAGCCGTATGTCATTGCGGTGGAAGTAGGAGTTGCAATTGAAGCTGGAAACGGAGCCCGAGCCAGAGCCAGAGCCGGAGCTGGAACTGATGCAATGGCTCTGGCTCTGGAGTTGGGTGGGTGGGTTGTTGAACTCGCTGCCAGTTGCATAGTTCGTTGCGCGTTTCGAAATTATAGATATATATGTATAAGCAACTAGCGGTCGCTTTGACAGTTTTGCCAAGATTTATGCGCCCTGTAAATTAAATTAAAATATTAAGTCCAAGAGCCGCAAGACTTTACATTTAATTACGCACAAAGCGAACATTGCAACATTTTGAGGCAGCCAAAAAATAAACAAAACAAAATAAAAACTACATCCATTTTTGGGAAAGGCAAACCGGTCTCCCAGTTGCCAGCCTGGTTACATTTTAGGTACTATTCGTACTCGCACTCGTTCATGCCAAGCTATTAATGTGAGACACCCCAAAACGCGCAACGGATCGTATGTGTAATATTTCTGTTTCTGCTCACACAAATTAGATTACTTGACAAATGACTATTTTTTAATCGGACAGGCTGTATAATATATATTCACATATTTTGTAAATGCAAAATGCGACATTTTCCATGCATAACTTGCATTGTGTAACTCCCATAGGTCAGGTCATCCATTAAGCTATTGAGTTTCTATCAGCGCTAGCCTCAAGGAATTTATCAAGCCATATAAGTAACAGAACAGATGGAATATTAACAATAAGAAAAATTAAATTACCAACGGATTGCTGCTATGACAGCATATAGCAACATATAGTAAACCGATGTTGTTAATATTTTAGAGGTAGACGAGCTTAATAAAAAGATACAGAAAGTATACCATATACAAGTCCAAGGTTACCTTAATTGTTCTTAGGGGAGTCGTGTTAATGGAGTATTACTTGAATCTAAGGAACATTGTAAGGCATATCATCAAGTCGATCATAGCTTTTTCTGTTATCGATCGCGTGAGCGGTATTCCCTTTTTCATTCAATAATATTAAAGAAAATGATTTTCGATTGAACCCGATAAAACGCAGCCTGCACCTTAGTTCACACTGCAATGCAGCAGCAAAGCTTTAAAACATTTTGTGGAGGTAATCGACATACTAATCCACCAAATAGTAGATAGTTGCGCGCTGTGCATTAGCTGCCCCCATGTCAACTCAGGTGCTCATAAACGTTGGGCCGTCAAAGATGCGCATCCACTTAAGCTTGGAATGCCCAGCGTAAGAGGCGTCTATCAGCTGTTGAATACCACATAAGCTGCACTTGTACAATTGAACCGATGTTAGGTATAATTTGGAGTATAATTCGGTACAATTCCGTAATTCCCAGCAGCAATTGAAGTCGCGCGTTGCCTTTCCCAAAGTTGTTAGCCAAGGTCGCAGTCGGAACATTTAAAATTCTTGATAGTTTTTTCTGAGACGAAAATTAACAAATATTTTCAAGCTTGACTTGGAGACGTGCGCGCACTAACAATTGATCAATATGTCGAATTGTCAATTATTTAGTGTGTTTGCCAAGTCGCCCAATGTGAGAATTACTCGACTTCGACAAAGTCGAGCTGTACGAGTATAGATCGAGCCGCATAACTATGCCACTTGGCGGCATTTAAATCTGTTGCTTTTGTGATTGTTGCCCTGCGGCAGCAATTGCCAAATTTGATAACCAAATCGAATTTCGATCAAACATTGACTTCCTTATTGACTAAATAGCTAAGGCATAGCTCATATGGATAATAGATTTATTTTGACTGCAGTTCATAAACGTCGATAATACACATATTATAAACAATCTTAAGGTCTATATAAACCATATCGTTATTCTGAACGTTGTGAGTGGTGCCATATATCAAATGCCTTGGCGCGACACTCGACGACCAAGCGCAGTCACAATGTATTCAAGTATCTTATAGATACATTTCGAACTTCAATTGGCAAATGACTGCAAATCAAAAGTCTCTCCAGCTGACTGAAATGCTACGTATCTCTGAAAGCAGTGACACTTAACTTACTTTTATCACCTGCACTTTGGGGCCTGTCGAACGGGTTCTATATGAGATTACGGCAAGGTATTAACATATTGATTAGCCTAGGGCCGGACATGATTGACAATTGTGTTATAATAATTTATGTAGCTGTCACGTCAACTGAACACACAGATACACAAACACAAACACCGCCCCTTAGTCACGATAATTGTTGCATGTGCAACACAAAGAGAGAGGGAGAGAGTTGAAAAGCTGCCTTAAGATGCAACTGCAGCTGCTGCGGCAGCAGCAGACATCAATTATATAACGCACAATTGCAACTAGTTTTATGGTCTAACAAGAGGCAGAGAGACCTGAAAAAATATACGCCACACGACTTTGACTTTGCGAGTCGGCACTTGCCACAACCGAAAACCATGCGACACCATTTCCATTACCATTCACAGTTCGCAGTGGCATCATCGCGTCTAACAATGGGATCTATTCACTTTTTGTGATATATTTTTATTTTTTATTATTTTCGATGGGCTTAAATTTATTATTTCTACAACTATTTTCGAATATTGTACACAACCTTATATTATATTTGCTATATTTTTTTTCTTTGCTTTGGAAGCATAAAAGTTGATTTTTGAAATAGTTGTCGGCCAATAGGGCCCACTGTGCCTCGTTGATTTTATCAGATCAGCCTCATCGCAGTCGGCATGGCACGTTTTTCACGTTCACTTGTTTCCGTTTGGCTTACAAATTCCGCCATACTCTATTTAAAAGTGCCCCCTCCCTCGGCACCCTCTGCCACCTTGTGGCAAGTCAAAACCGCTTGCAACTTTGCTCCTGCCTACGCTAAAGTGTCGGACACATTTAGCGCTGAGTGGGCCATAAATTTTGTGATTTCCCATTTGTTTGTTGCCTCTTGTCAAATGCTAAGCCGATTGCACAATACGTGGACCTAATCGTTGACATTTTCTACTGATGTATGAAGACGTCGGGAAACAATTAATTTATGCAATTTCTTTTGCTTGCTTCCTCATTAAAGTCGCGACATCTTCGTAAAAAAATATGAAGCGGCGTGCTGAGGCGCCATAAGGAAACGAGAAGTAGGACAATCTACTGAAAACTTAAAGTTTCATATGAAAGGGTTTACTTAATTACTAGAGCGATCGGACGAAACTTGAAACTTAATGCTAATTCTTAGCCCCAGAATTCTTTCCAACCAGGATTCTTGTGGAATTTTCCACAAGAGCATAACATACCTTCAGTTAAAATTTCAACCTGTTACTGCTTGGACTCATCAGTCAGTCATTCAATCAGTCAATGTAATAAATTTATGTATCTATAATTAACTATATATATAAATGAATGCCACACGGATTCCCAGTGTAACATTTCGCATTTCTTGTTTTGTTTGCAGGGTCGCGATGCCACGCCCTATTTGGAACGTAATCGTGTGGGCCGCGATGCAATTGACTCCGCCGCCGCCCTAACGGACATGGGCAAGTATCTGTTCCGGGAACGTCGCCTGCCCGTCTACGACATCGCCGTTGCCATCACCAAGTGAGTAGCCCCTGCGGCCGGACACCCTGTTATGGTGTATTCTTGTGTTCTTGCAGATTCAGCAGCAGCAATGTTTTGTTAGCAGCCACAACTTCAGGGCTTCCCCTTTCCTATCAAGCTCTCCACTATTTACTCTCTACTATATCCTATCTGAAATTCTTATATATAACCTATATATACCATATAATGTCTACTTATGCGCAGGTATGATATGTGTCGCAGGCGTAAAGGCGGCCGTTGCACCAAAGGCACAGCGGGTAAAAGAATATATCAAAATCTAAAATACAAATATTGAATACCATACAAGCTAAATCGATTCCAAAGACCACACACACACGCACACACACACACACGCACACACACACACACAAATGAACACTCGAACAAATGTCATGTGGTTTTTAACATCTCAGAGCTGTTAGTTACAATAGTTTCTAGTTTGTAGCTACATTTTTGTAATTTGCACTAGAAAAAACACTTAACAAAGTTGCCTTATAATGCGTGTGGGTTAAAAAAAAAACACACATTTACACACACACACACAATACACACGCACACATACAAACACTCCGACATCCAAGTAAAAGATACGAATTTTAGTTAAATTCGAGGCGCTATTTCATCTAATTTGAGGAGCGGGCTGGTCATAAACCATAACCGGTTACAAAGACATAGTACGCCTTCTATGGTTGCTGCATTTGGGTAACTGAATTACTATATATGCATAAGTTTAATATCGGTTTTTAATTTGTATTGTGACATTGGAAGTTATCTTAAACACATAAATTATTTGGTCAAGATGTTGTCCTAATTTTAAGACCTAATTCCTCAACTGAAGCAGCTGCAACTAAATCTACTAAAGTTTGTTACTCTAAACAAAAAATAGTCATATTTGTAGCTCGTATTTAATAATGATTCCATTCGTATACTAGTTTTTGACAATTTTATAGAACTCGCCAGTAAATCTAGAGTAGTTTTTTTTTTAGAAAAAATGTTTCCTTTCTTCTATATTATTTTCCGCCTATATTTACGTATATATTTTTTAAAATATTTTTTATCGACTCTGAAGCATTTGAACTTAATTCGCTTTGTGACCCCAACAAAAAACCCAAATTGGCTCTCAAACCTTATGCTGTGCTGCTCCAACTATATTTCTCTGTTTCTCTGGGCGTGCCATCAATTGGGTACGCCCGTAAAAAGACCCCAGAAAGACTATCAATTTAATTTATGTACATAGTGCTCCACATATGTATCTAAGAAACGAAGCAACGAAATCGAATCCATACTCAAATCTACGCATTTTGAACAATTTTCGCCCGCAGACTTGATATGTGCCGTCGCACCTCCGCATTTGGTGAATGTAATCGCGGTACCGCAGGTAAAAATATAATAACAACAACAACTACAGCAACTACCACAATTTGTTCGCTGACAATGTACAGATAAATGCGAAAATATCAAATACGTTAACTTGAAAAAAATGAAGCAAAATAACATTAAAGGCGGCAACCGCCGAACCGAACCAAAAGCGTCGCTCCATCATCTAAACTCAAGCCAATTTAATTGAATTTCATGCACGTCTCTTTGTCTCTTATTTATTCTCCTTACTTGTGTCTATATTTGTATTCTCTACTTACTCTATTCACTTCTTTTGCGTGAATTTAATTTATGTGTTTTGTGTCGCACGCGATTTTGTACAGCAAACAAGAACTATAAACATCTTCACAGCAGGAGCAGGGAGTCTGTGCGCATGCGCCTCTTAAATGCAAACATAACCTCAAAGCCTGACTCTGCTCGTCAATGCTCCTCAAACTGTACAATTTACCTTATTTTCTATATTTCTCTATGTACGTATGTGTCCATGTACATAGGTATTCTGCGTCTTTTGCTTGAAATGATTTCCTCATTTTTCTCTGTGTCATATTCTTTAAACATTTTCGTACCACTGTGCTATAAGCATGTATGTGTACCTATGCCTAGGGCACAAAACTTTTGTGATATATCTTTCTAAGCCTACGATTTGTATAAGTTCTTTACGTTCATTTTACAGGAGTCCACAAGCACTGTAAATACGGATTAGCTATTTGTGAAGATCCAGCTGCAAATACTGAAATTTTCCTGTTTACTAGCAAATTTAGGGTCTAATAAGAAGTTATATTTAATTAAATATTGTTAAGTTATCTATTATTAATTTCTTAAAACATATGAATAACATAACAATAGTTATCCGGTTCTAAAATGGCTTTTCAGGTTTAACATAATCTTGCTTATGCTCTATATTTATTTTGGTTTTGGTTTTGGGCTTGTGACTTGTGACTTGACTGGTTTTTGTTCAAGGCAATTGTTACTAAATTTTAACTATGTATTAATTACCTATAACTCCTAACTGGTGGATTGTTCACATCATCAGAGCTATTATAAACCTAAATCATGCAATATGGCACACATGGAGTATACACACAAACATATGTTTATTCCAAAGGCAGCTATTATATGAAAAATAAACGCCGCTTAGGCCATATCGAAATTTTGAAAGTAAACACCAATTGCCAAATCCCAAAGCGGCTTTTATTTTTTGTATATAATAACTGCGTCAACAAGTAGCTACTACAACTGCTAGTCGTTAGTTGAACTAAAAATTGTCAACTTCCCGTTGACAGACCAAGCTAATTGCTCAAATAATTTTCTAATTTTCGCCATATGCATATGGCCCACAGGCTTTGCCTATGTTGGGGGCGCCTGCGTGGTTAACAAGCGGCTGGAGAAGGTGAACAGCGTGGCCATCATCGAGGACACCGGCGGCTTCAGCGGCATCATTGTGGCTGCCCACGAGGTGGGACACTTGTAAGTATCCAAGCATCAGTGAAACCCAGTCAGAGGGCTAGTTTTGGACACGTTTCCAGTGTCAGTTGTCAAACGGAAGTGCTTCTCGTTTTGGCTTGGATTTTTTGGCACTCTACTTCCACTCTATTTAACGCCAAGTCCATTAGGGATATAAAAAAAAAAAAAATAAAGAAAACAGCATCAATTTCCGGCGCATGACCGCAACGAGCCGGCAACTGGAGTTGGAAACGTGTTTTGCATTTCCGTTTGACATCATTCGGCGTGCAATTAGTCAATTAACATTTTGCCGATTTTCCCGCAACTCAATCGAATGGCCAGTCTCAAAGCCTGAAATACTCTCGCCTTGCTTGCAGATTGGGAGCCGTGCACGACGGCTCGCCACCGCCCAGCTATCTGGGCGGACCGGGTGCTCAGCGCTGCCGCTGGGAGGATGGCTACATAATGTCCGACTTGCGTCATACGGAGCGCGGCTTCCGCTGGTCCGCCTGCACCGTGCAGAGCTTCCACCATTTCCTCAAGTGAGTTAAATGCTGTTAGCCTTCCTTGAAGTTCTACATTCAAGCTGCATTCACAGTGGGGATACTGCCACCTGCCTGCACAATGCACCGCACGAGGACAGCGCCTTGGGTAGATCTCTGCCGGGCACACTACTCTCCCTGGATGCGCAATGCCGGCGAGATCGCGGCACCTACGCCTGCTTCAAGGACGAGCGTGTCTGTGCTCAGCTCTTCTGCTTTGATGCACAGACGGGCTATTGTGTTGCCTACAGGCCAGCCGCGGAGGGTTCAGCATGTGGTAATGGTTACGTAAGTATGCGAAGCGAACGATTCAATTGCTGCTTCCCCGCGGATAGCACATAAGCTGAACTCTTTGTTGTTCTCAATCTCACACCTTAGCACTGTCTGGATGGTCGTTGCACCCCACTGCCCTCCAACATAATACCAGACTATGGAAACAATTACCGTTTAGTATACAAGTAAGTACGATTTTCAGTTAAAGACTCTCTTTCGTAGTTGGTTGTATAAGTTTAGAGTTTGATTTATGATTTTGAATACGAAACTATGTATTTTGAGTACAAAGAAAAACACACACAAATCATAATTTAATATGCAAACCTTTTACACCTTTACAAATATCAACAACTACAACAACAACAATCCACAATCTACAACCACACCCACAACAACACAACAACAATTAAATCAATATATTAATCACAAACAAACAAACAAACAAACAACAAATGCCAAACACCAAAAAAAAAAACACAACAACACATTAGTAAAATCAGCCAGACAAACGATGCGAACAGCCAATCGGCAGAAGACGTTGAAAAAAGTAGTGAGGAAATCGAATCCCAAGAAGATGAGAGCCCAAGCGATAATGAAGAGCAAGATGACCAGGCCGAGGGCATCGGCAGTAGTGAGGAGCAGGAGGACAATAATATACAGCAAAGCTCTGCCGCTGCTGCAGCTGCTGCGGCTGCCGTTGGCAATTTGACAGCGACAAAAGCAACAACAACAACAACAACAACAACAACAACTGCAAGAACATTGACAAGGACTATAGAGACTGGGCGCAACAAATCGTTTGAGTATTTGCGCCGACTGTACACCACTGAGAGCCCTGAAAACTTTGCATTGCTCAATGCGGAAGCTCATTGGCTACAAAATGGTGGAGTTATGGTCAAAACCCACACCAGCAGAAGCTTCAGCAGCAGCAGCAGCAGCAGCAGCAGCAGCAGCAGTGCTGCACACACATCAACAACAACAACAACAACAACACCAAGAACAACAAAACTCTCAACAACAACACAAACACCGAATCTATTTCAAATTTATACAAATGAACTACGTAAACATATCGCATACTATTTACACTTGAGACAAACACAACAACAGCAACAACAACAAGTAAAAACGACACATAAGCAACAAGAACCACAACAACAATCGTCCAATGAACATTTCTCAATTCCCTTGGTACAAAAACAAATTACAAATTATAGTGCCACCACCAACAGCAACAACAATGGCAACGGCAACAACAACCACAGCAACAGCAACAGCAACAGCAACAGTAACGGCAACAACAGCGAGGAAGGCAACAAGCGACAACAACTGGTTGATGATGAAAATGATGACAATGTCGGCATTGAGATCAATGAAGCGATTGAGCGGCAAAAACGTAAGTTTCACATACAACAACAGCAACCACGACACTTGACAACACTGCAACAGCAACAACAAGAACCACAACAACAAAAACAACAATTGGCAACACCAACAACAACGACAAGCACAGCATCAGACGCAACAACAGCTGCCAAAGCAACGCCAACGCCAACAACAAGCACCACAAAATCGAAAACAACATCATCGATAATCGATGCATACTTTAAGAAATTCCAAGCACTGCATTTACCAACACTGGATGGTGCAGTGACAGCCACCACCACATCGGTGTCTACATCCGTAAGCTCATCGGCAACAAAAGCGGGCAGCACACAACAACAGCAACAACAGCAACAACAGCAACAAAGACAACAGCAACAGCAACAACAAAACTTTGATGGCAGCCCATTTCTAAAACGTACGCTAAATCGCAGTAGTATTATAACATACAAAAATAGTAGTAATAAAATTAGTAGCAATAGTCATAACTATAGTCAGCAACAGCTGCAACAACATCAACAACAACAACAATTGACATCGCCCGCATATGCGACAAATTACATTGGCGACAATACAAATAATTTGCCAACGGTGTTGGACAATGAACCAAGTACAACAACAACAACAACATCAACAACAACAGCCATACAAGAACAACAACAACAACAACAGCCCCAACAACAGTCATCAAATGGCACCAACAAAAAACCCAAAATCAAAACACAAAAACTGATACGCCGCACACGAGTCATGTAGATCGCAGATCGGAAAAAAGGCCTCAAAACAGGAGCATCAAAATTGGCGGCAACACTGTCAAATCAACTACTAAACAAATGTCCAACACTGCCAACGAACCAGTCGTAACTGTAACGCCTCTGCATACCTCTGATACACGCACACACACACACACAGACACACAACACACACACACGATACAAAAATTGTCCTCTCGACGGTCTCTCAAAATCGATTCGTTTGTTTTGCTACTTCGTGCGGTAAGAACAACACAAGCAATCCAACAGTATATCCGTAGTCTAAAAAGCTTCGCTAAAAACTTCAAAAAAAAAAAACAATGAAAATGGAACATATTCTAAAACCTAGTGGTATTTGCTGCCTGCTATACTTTAGACATATATAATCGGTTATTGCGGCTTACAATTTTTACCAATACGCATTCGTAATTGGCCATTTAGTTGTAATATCGAATCTATATTAAGCATTTGGCGCATGACTGCATACTCGATCCCTTTTTACTTATTAGCACATTTTAAGAAAATAAATATGCATTTCAAAAAAGTAGTATGGGCCGCTTAGTAGTGGCCCAGCAAAGTAGTGCTTGACACGTAGCTCTTAGCATGAACAATTACAGTATTATTTCTTGTAATAATTTATAAACAAGATAACTCGAAAAAAAGAAAAAACAAAACAAAACAAATTTATCAGATGCCTGAAACTTAGCATCCATAATATGCTCACGCGCTATTTTCGACATTTTCATGGAATTTTCATTAAGGCTTTTCACATATGCCCAGATATTTTTCATTCGCTATCAATAAAACTCGAAACTCATCGCTGATACAAACCATTCAACTGCTGCTATCTCGATCTTCAAATTTTTAATGCTCTCTCTCTCTCTCTGGCTCTGTCTCTCGAAATTACATAATTTACATACATAATTACAAACCAATGCAGAAACAAATTGGTAATTCACACAAAAACACCCACTTTTGACAAACACATACACACACACACACACACACAAATTATAAAACATATACACGCATCAACAGGAATTCGGAACATATCAAAACATAGAAATTAAGGTATATCTATTTGGAAAATTTTCAATTTGGCATGGCGTAAATTGAACTAAACAATAAACAAAACGCATATTGCATACTAAAATCAACAATTGCAACAATATAAAGAAAAGAAAATTCGAAAACAAAAAACAATTTGGCTCTTGGAAACGCATGGAATGTGGAACAAAACTTAGCGGTTAAATTAAATATGGTGGCACATACAGTAAACACCCGCAAAGGCGTCTGGCGGCGTCGGCAAATACTTTTCAGACCATTAAACCAAAAACAGCAAACATATCTCATATATGCACGCCTAACATTTATGCAGTTCACTTTGATTATACATTTGATTAATTTTGCTATCTTCTGTTTCGTTCTCTTGCGTGCGTGCGGCCTCTCCCTCTCCTAGTGGTTAACTGGAAGCTGTTTCCGTTTTAGAGCACTGCCACCTCTGGAAGAACGTTTGGAATTGGCACATGTCGGTTTGGTTATTGCCATTGAAATTTTAACAAATACTTGTTTTGCAGTTTGCAGCAAATCGTGTTTTTAGATAGAATTTTTTATTTTTTATTAATACTTATTATAATTACTATTGATTTGTTTTTAGTTTTAGCTGCAACTAATTTAAAATAATTCTTGTTAAAAATCAACGCACCCAACTAAGTGAACATTTTTTGTATAATTGCGAACACCAGTATGTGGCAAAAAAAAAAAAAGAAAAAAAAGCATGAACAAAACATATATTATGTTATGTATAATTTAATTAAATTTAAAAACAAACAAAACAAAAAAACAGTATAATGTTTTGTATATAATATTTGTTTTTGTAAAAAAAATTTCATACATACGCATTCATTTTGGTATTTAAAAGAGAAACAAACGATTTGATAAATTATTCCTAAAGATTTCCAATTTTCCATTGTGATAAAAGATAATTTGTATACTTAACTAACAATATTTATCTTTTTTAGAAAATTGATGAAAACCTGAAAACAAAAAAAAAATTCGTTATTTACTCAGCCGCACTTTGCCTACTAGAAAACTTACAATCCCATACATTGTTGTATTAAAATGTAGAAAAGTTGTGCATTGTTAATGCGATCAAACATTCTTAAAATTGCATTACCTTATATAAGCATCAAGTAGTTTAATAATAATGCCTAAGCTCCTAGATATAGACAACTGGAAATCATATAAAGTGAAACTGTACATTTATCACACGCATACACACAAACAAAAATGTAATTTAAGAAATATATCTATATATAAATAAATACATATACATAAATATATATATATATATATATATATAGTTTACAGGAAGCATACGCATTTACTTAAAGCTGCCTCATAATCCATGCAACACTTTCTCGAAGATTATTTTGAGTGAAGCTGAAGGCTCTTGAATAATGTAAGAGTCCTTCAGACCTCCAACCAAGGGCTTCGAATCTTAATTTGAATAAAGGCTGCTATTTTAGTGCTTCCTAAAGAATTTGAACCCATCTTGATGGATTGTGCAGACTCCTTGACTTTGATGCTGGACTAGCAAGCGGATTCGCCGGCTCAAATCCATACGAGACTTACAATTTTATCAATTCAATTTTGAATATAATATATTTTGAAAATTTATAAATGTCTGTTATTAAACAAACGAACTATCATTTATTATTCTGCTATGATTCAGTTTTTACAGATGTTTTTAACGAGCTGTCATTAAATATTGTGCCATGATTCAAAGAATGTTATCAAACGAACAAAAATATGCTAAGTATTAACAAATTGTTGGCAGAAGTTTAATTTATCTTATCGCAGTTATACCCTTTAAATATTTCGCTGAGGTAGTTTAGCACGAGACAATATTCGTATCCTATGCATGTTATATCATAAGAGAACATTATATTTGATAAATATTCATAAAGGAATGCATATATAAAGTAGAAATACGTTTCAGAGTTTAAGTACAAACTTTATTATATTGTATGATACAATTCAAAAGCTACAGGGTATCTGCTAGTCGAGTACCTCAGCTTGACATCTCTTGTACATAAGTCCCATATACCATTCACATTTCGTTTCAAATCCAGCAAAAAACCACATTAAAATTAAAATTATACAAAAAATTCTCTCGGCAAGCTCAGCAGCAATCCAGACTTGTTCTTAGTTTAGGCGCCCTTCGTGGGCATTGGCAAGTAACGATTATATGTGACCAGGTTCTTGACCAGAGCTGCGACAGAAAGCACACACACAATGCCAGCTGGCATTAGTTTTCCGGACCGATTCCAGCGCACACCCATCAATCCGCCCAAGAAGAGCGATGTACCCAATTGGAGCAGCGGCCGTGGTGGATCCTGCGAGTTTAAGTGGGCGCCATAGCCAAGCAACGCTCCGAAAGCAACGCCCGCTCCGAGCGATGGTATGGAACCTGATTGGCAGTATTAATGTTTTAGTTGATTGCACAATGTTAAGTTTTATTAACGCGCAACTCACCAGCCTTTGCATAGCCCATTATTCCGCCAGCGGCAACTGTGGCAGCGTATACATAACCAAACCAGTCTACAGGCATTTTATTTTTGTTTACGTTGCACGCTTCTGGATTATATGGTTGCAGAATTTAGTTAGTTATGTTTATTATACGCTGACTTTTGGAAAATGTGAAGTACTTTGCTTGAGCGAACCAAGTTCAGCTGTTTTTGCTACAGAAACCTGTAATAGTTGCAGCAAAACAATGGGAACGAAAATACTGGGAATAAGGTAAAGTTGTTCGCTCGAGCGATTCGCCAAAATGAACACATCATTATCGCTCATTCAGTTCAAATGAGCTATTTTATTTTTTAGCTTAATGAAATTTAAAAAATGTAAGCAATCTCAAGCGGGATGTACACAAATATGTCAATTAAGCAAATTAATCAATATATCGACTCATATGCGATGTATGCAGCTATGAATATCGGTTTGCATGCGATCATTTTAAGACTTTGTTAGGGATGGCAAAAATCAAGTTTTGTTCACATAAAAATTTTATTTAAAAATTGATAACACATCGCTGTGTTTGCGAAAATTATAATTTCCAAAATGATTTAGTTACGTTTTTTTTTTTCATAAAAATACTAGATTTCGTAGCCATTGGCGTTTTTAATCAAAACAGCGATGTACACATAATAGTTATCGATATTATTGCAGCCACATTGCCGTGCAGTGCTGGAAAACATATCAAACAGTGTTGGAAACTAAGCATCCCTATGTACGCATTTTGGGGCGCATAATTTTCACCGAAAAAAACCAAGAAAGCTGAAGCAATAGTAATAATTGTTAGTCCAAAAAATTAGCCAAAGGTTTGCGGTGGTGTTTTATAAGCAATATTCAACGCGACGTAAACTTTTAAAGAAATTAGTGAAAACACGCCTTTTCCGGTTTCCAGTGCATTTCGTTATTGAATTTTCAAGTTGCACGTCGTCAACTTGCGTCGGCGTTTTTGCGAAAATAACGGGGCGTGGACTGTTCATTTAGACTAAAAAGACTAACAGAAGCAGCCGAAAAGCACTTGGAACGGAAATATTTGCAAACATGAGTGACTTTCAGACGCAGCAGGCGAGTTTAAGTCAATCGCAGGCTTTGGCAGCTGCCATACAACGTGCCAAGCAGGTAAGAAGAAGCAAAGCATTGCCTAGGAGCTGTCTGTACGGCCGAATCGGAAAAAGGCGCCATTAACGACAAAAGTAACTGTTCTATTGTTGTATTTGAGCAGATTGCTGCAAAAATACAACCAAGTCAGCAGCAGCAGTCACAGGGAGGTGGTGGAGGCGACACTAGTGGCCCATCCGCAGGCGGAGGCAGCACCAACAACTTCAAGCGACATAACGACGACGGCGATAGCGGACCAGACTGCAAACGCTCATTTGGCAGCCCTGACTACGGCCAAAATAACTCGAACATGAGCAGTGGCAGCGGTGGCGGCGGTGGTGGCAGTGGCGCCAATATGACCCAAGCCATTGCGCAAGCAGCCGCTGTTGCAGCGCGTTTGGCCGCCTGGCCGGCGTCCACTTGTGAGGAGCAGGTGCGCATACCCGAGAGCATAGTTAGCGCATTTGTGGGACGCAGCGGCAGCGACACGCTTAGTCACCTAGAAGCCGAGTCCGGTGCTAAACTTGAACTGATGCAGGATCAAGAGCGTGTTATAACATTGCGCGGTACACGCGAGAGCTGTACAAAAGGACGCGAAATGCTGCAGCAGATGGTCAATCGAAACGGCGGTGGCGGCAATGGTACCTGTGAGGTGCTATTAACCATTAATATGCCGCCGCCGGGTCCCGGGGGCTATCCGCCGTACCAGGAGATCATGATTCCTGGCGCAAAGGTGGGTCTGGTCATTGGCAAGGGCGGCGATACTATTAAGCAGCTGCAGGAAAAAACCGGCGCTCGCATGATCATCATTCAGGATGGCCCCAATCAGGAAGTTATCAAGCCACTTCGCATTTCCGGGGTACCACAAAAGGTCGAGCACGCTAAGCAAATGGTCTTAGATCTGATCGCCCAAAAGGATGCATTAGCTCAGCAGCAGCAGGGCGGACGCAGTGGTGGTGGCACTGGTGGCGGTGGCTCTGATCAAAGCTTCAATAACTTTAACAATGGCAGCGGCGGCGAAAGCGTCGAGGTCTTCGTGCCCAAAATAGCTGTGGGCGTGGTCATTGGAAAGGGCGGCGATATGATACGTAAAATTCAAACTGAATGCGGCTGCAAGCTGCAGTTCATCCAAGGCAAAAACGATGAGATGGGAGATCGACGCTGCGTTATCCAGGGCACGCGCCAACAGGTGGAGGATGCCAAGCGCACCATTGATGGCCTTATCGAGAATGTGATGGTAAGAAGTAACCCAAATCAATATACGCATTCACTACTGTTTCTGAGCATGGGAAACATATATATTACCACCCAATCTAGCTGGCTGTTTTGTAGAGACTTGACATATGAGGCTAAAGTATATCGTGGTATGAAACTGAAGCACGAAATATAAATTAAATAGGTCCGAATTTAAAGTTTCACACTTTCCGATAACTTATGGCTTTTCTAGTTTATCGCTTTTCTCAAGTATATTCGGGTAATAACACGTGCATATTTAATCCACAGCAACGCAACGGAATGAATCGCAATGGCAATGGAGGCGGCGGCGGCGGCGGCAGCCAAGGTGGCGGTGATTCAAATAATTCCAATTATGGCTATGGCTACGGCGTGAATCATGCGCAGGGCGGTCGCGAAGAGATTACGTTTCTGGTGCCCGCCTCTAAATGCGGCGTAAGTTACAAAATTGTTGTGCATCCAGTGAACGCTATTTGATGAACGTCTTCTATTTGTAGATTGTTATTGGACGCGGTGGCGAGACTATTAAGCTCATCAATCAGCAGTCAGGGGCCCACACAGAAATGGATCGCAATGCCAGCAATCCGCCCAACGAGAAGCTCTTCAAGTCCAAGGGCACCACCGATCAGGTGGAGGCTGCACGTCAAATGATATCCGAAAAGATCAATATGGAGTTGACGGTGCTGTCGCGGAAGCCCATTAGCGGCGGCGGAGGTGGAGGTGCTGGTGGTGCCGGTGGCGCCAACAATGCCCATCACAATCAACAGCCCGGCGGGTACGGCGGCAACCAGATGCAGGGTGGCGACCCCAACGCAGCCGCGGCAGCTGCTTACCAGCAACAACAGCAGCAACCTTGGGGCGCATATGGACAACAAGGCGGCTGGGATCCAGCCGCTGCCCAACAACAGCAACAAATGGCTATGGCAGCAGGTCAGGGCCAAGCAGGTGCCGCTGCTGGTGCAGGCGGTCAAGATTACTCAGCTCAGTGGATTGAGTACTACAAGTAAGTTGTCAAGGGGGGTGAGATTTAACAATTAATTCTTATATCTAAATCGCATTCAAATTACAGGCAAATTGGCTGCCATCGCGAGGCAGAGATGATTGAACAGCAGATGAAGGCTAAGCTGGCTGCCAGCGCTCCGGGCCCCAGTCAGCAGGCTCCACAACAACAGCAGCAACCTCAGCAGCAGCAGCAACAACAACAACAAAGTGGTGGCAGTGGTGCCGATTACAGCGCACAGTGGGCAGAATATTATCGCAGTGTGGGCAAGATCGAGGAGGCAGAAGCTATTGAAAAGACTCTCAAGACTAAGGTAAGAAAAATTCTCCAAACTAGATGAAATATATTGCTTGAACTTGTAATGCTTAAGCCACTAATTTAAGTGTAGTAATTGCATAGCCATTAATGATAGCATTTAATTTTAACTTATAAATTAATTAATATCAATGATGGCGTCTACAGCAAAACGGAGCCGGCGCTGGCGGCAACAATAATGCGCCCAATCCGAATCAAGGCGGTCCAAATCCAAACCAACAACAGCCCAATGCAGCAGCTGCGGCAGCAGCAGCAGCAGCCGCCGCTGCAGCGGCCGGTGGCTATGCCCAAGGTATGACTCCTAGCCAATATGCACAATATTCACAGTATTATGCTGCAGCGGCTGCTGCGAGTCATCCGCAAGGGGCGCCACAGCCCCAGGGCGGCGGAGCTGGCAGTGGAGGTGGTCAGGGCGGAGGCCCACCAGCTGGATATCCAGGCGGCTATCCGGGCGGCGCCTATGGCGGCTATCCAAGCGGCCCTGCCGGCGGACCGGGTCAGCAGCAGCAGAAATCACACAAAAACGACAAACATTGAGGGGACTGAAACAGATGCGGGTGCCTTGAAATGGTGAGTACTCAATTTCAACTTGATAGTATGTCGAGATATATTTGAATATGCAGGTAGACTACGTATTTTGCTGCCTTTGCTGCCTTGAATTTCCTTGATTATATTTGCTTTTTGCTTTGCTTTCTTTCTCTTGCCTGTTTATATTTTGATCCATACATTGAGAATTTTTGTATTATTACAATATACTTACTTATGTATTTGAAAACCTTTTAACTATGTATGAAAACCTAACGAAATCTTGTTTACCATGCGTAAAACTCTTTGCAGTGAATCATTTGAATTGTTCTACTATCCTATGTCTTTTATCCCCAATAAATTAGCAAAAATTAATTGAAGCGCAAACAGCTGAGCGAGAAGAATATCAACGAGCTCCAACAGTCAAGACAACCATCAATCAATCAATCAAACAAACAGTCAATCAATCAATTTGCACACTTGCAGCTTGAAGCGTCGCGCTTTGCATAAATGTAAATTTATTATATATATTAATTATATGCCAATTACATTGGTTTCTTTTCTACTTATAATTTTACTTTAGACTTTAAGTGACTTTGCCTGAAATATTAATTCTATGACAACAAAAAAGAGAGATAAACGAAAAAGAAATGCTGTTGCTGTCCAGGTTCAGATACACAACTTCTGGGACATTACACAAATTGCTATTTATATATATGCATACAAAATCATATATACATATATATATATATGTATATATAGATTCATATATATATATATATATATATATATATAGATTTATATATAATTTCGCATGCATAAAATCTCTTTCGTCGTCAATTTAGGCATCTCGAGAGCTGCTGCAAACTAGCCAATGCACATGTTTAACTATGTCCACGCTGGAGTGTGTTGATTGAAAGACAACAAATAGACATATATACAAAATATGACCTACCTTTTGATACCGCAAAACGTTTCTCTCATACATTTTAACTTAGCTTAGTTCTAATGCATTCATATAACATTATACCTTCACATATATTATAATATTAAATACTACGATCAACGTCTCTACTCTGATCTGGTAAGAATTTCAACCTGTAAAATTGCCAATGGTCTTATATAACTCAAAACATTGAACAAAAAATGCGTAGGAATATGTTTTATTTTCTCTTGGATAAAACTGGTTTGTTGAACTGTTGTTAAACCTTTGTTACTCAATTACTACAATTTTTTAATTTAATATTCCCATTGAGGCAAACCCCATATGATTCTTTATATAGCTTTAAGTCATCATTTTGATTTCAGTTCCGCTTTCAAGCAACTTCTTAGGCAGCATCCATAGAATTTATCCTACAAATGGGCCCAACGCAGATTCGATGCTCTCTAATTCTTGTCCTGTCCCTGTCTGAATTCTTAGCCAACCGTTTGTTCTATATCTTTTCTATTTTTTTTTTAATTCACAAACTTGTACTTGGTAAGATCTTAAATGATAAGTTGTGGTATGAAGAAATGCTCATAAACAAGTTCACTTATTTCGTTAATATTTTGAAAACTTGAATGCGTGTGTATATTATGCACATGCACCACATGTATGTACTTTCAGAGGCCGTTTGTTAATCCAGGCATCTTCAAACCAGTTCATAACAATTGCAACTTAACCGAAAACCTTATGAAAACGAATATAACAAAAATATATATATATATATATATATAATAAATATATAATAGTAAAGTAAAAGCGTGCAACTTGGTAAGATCTTCTGTTATTATTGTGTATTGTGTCTTACGAATCTTACAATTGAAACCATGAACATTTTAATGAGTAAACCATATACCGTAGGTCTGCAATTATGAAACATTATAAATATATATTTATATGCAATAAATAGTCTAAGTTTTATGTCTCTTTAAAATGAAAAACAAAAACAAAAAAACATTAATGTTGCAACTGCTGAAAATGATATGCATCCTTTCCAATGAATATTTGTACTAGAAAGTGGGCGTGTTGCAAGATTTATTAATCTCTTTCGCAGCAGCCTTCGATACATTGAATAAACACATAATGACTATAATATATTATTATATTTATATAAACCCATTACTAAAATACGACGTACATTTACCATGTGCGTAGTATGCAAATTATGCGTTTCTATTTCTTATATGTTTTTTTTTTTTATTATTATTTTGTTTTGCAACGTCTCTTATGCCATATATGAAAATCGTTTCTGAGCGTATTTTCAGAGGCGCTGAGTTGGATGGGATCTAGGGCCGGGCTTTTGGTTTTGTGTTCAGTCGCTGTCGTTAATTCTTGGGTATGTAGCAGGTCTATGAATACTTATACCTTGATACATTTTGAATATACTACTTCTCTATACATATTTTAAATGCCATATCTTACGCACATGTACTCGTATATTGCTGATATTCTCTATATATACTTACATTCTATATTTGTACATATATTACATACAATGCATATGTGACATGTATATTTCTCTATATATTTCAATAGCCAACCACAACGATTTTCCACGCTGTACTACCCCCAAAGTAGCGTCACGTATGAGCCTCCAAACTAATTGAAATATTGATTACTATTTGACTATTTATAATATAAAAAACTCAATCTCCACGATTATAAATTGTATATTAGTATATATGGTTTCAAGATATCATTTGTTTGCGATCTGTGCGGTTTATATTACCTTTAAATAACGAGTATTATTTATATTAATATGTGTATGTATATAAATATTATTGATATTGACATTTTAATGTTACATAAGCAACGGTAAAGCTCCCTCGATTATCGAAGTCATAACTTTGGAAGATCAACAATTGCCGTCAATTTCTAATCTCAGAATTCATTGAAGCAGTTCGCTTTGAGTATTGTTTTAGCTTAGATACTTTTCTATTTTCTTGATGTGATGGGGAAGTTGTTTATTTCTTTCAATTTTAGTGATCGGCATCCGTAAGACTATAAGCTGCACTTATGGTAAGTATATTCAACAAGCGACTACATTTCTTGTTTAATGTATCTGAATTTTGTACAATCCATCGAAATCCATTTGCCATAAAATTTGGGTCAATATCAAGCCGTTTAGTTCGCAATCAAATGATATTTTTGAAATTGATATATATTTCTTTATATTTGATTTAAATTATGTGCTTTGATCTATTTCCAGGGCCAATTGAGCAAAAAAAAAAAGTCCGTTTATATTCTATTCTATTCTATGCATTTAAACCTAACATTCATTTTTTACAAATTTTGAACAAATACTTTTGTTTTCTTTAATGGACTTTACCCCCCTCAAAATCGAAAATTGATATCATATATCTATGTTACAGCCATATTCGCGTGATCCACTTAACCAGTTAAATTGACATATTTACCTTTAATCCCTCTCATAATCATAAACTACATACGTATAAGTATATTACAACGATTATTTTAAATATTGCCGAATATTGCATTTTTAAATTTCTCAATAAATTACAATCTGAAAAAAATAGAAACGGTTTTTTGTTTAAAGGTTCCACCAAGTTTGACAGTTTAACCATAGTTTATGAACCCATATGAAGCAACCCAATATCCCGGTCCCAAATACTTTCCGTAGCCCATTAAATGAAAGGCATACTTCACTTTATTTTCTCGCAATATATTGTTGATATACATATATACGTCATCCGTCTTTATTTCCACAGCGAAACATTTAAAGATAAAACAAAATATCGTGTTATATCTAGGCATCCAAATGGGACGCATGCGGTTTACGGTTAAGTTAATTTCTGTTCTATAGAGGGAGAGAGAGCGTTCAATAATTTTATCCAACTTTGTTGTAAGATCCTCGTAAACTCTTATTTATATATATATATATTTTTTTTTATATATATGTCTGTATATTTGCTTTTTAACGCACATCAATTTTTTTTTTTTAGTTATTTTGCCATTTGTTTTTGTAAATTTTCTTTTTTTGCTACAAGAAACGTACATTGAGATGCTTGTATTTATGTATGGGAGTGGATTCAAAACATTGTTTTGAACCTGTTTTTTTTTTCTTTTTTGTTTTTGTTTAAAATGTACATACATTAAATTCGCAAGTGTATTCTAACGATGCACTTCTTTTATCATGTATATTATATTTTGGGTGTTGTCTGGTGTGAATCCTAGTTGTGTGTTGCCGCTCTGCAAGAGAAACCTGCTTAAGTTCTGTCTTCAATCTATTATCAAAGCCAAGGTGCTTGGGATAAATTAAAAGGACAGAAACTTGTTATGGTGTAAATCATACATAAGTTTATACTTATAATAACAATCTTTTGAGAGTTTAAAAAAAAACTGGCCATTTCATGTCTCCTCAAAAAGTTCACGTCCTCATCACAAACGAAATTGCAATAATATCAAAACTTGCAACCGTACATATTTTACAAATACTTCCAACTTTTGCCTGTGAGATTTCTCAATTTAATTCCTGCAATTGTGAAACAAAACATTTTGATAGGCATTATTCCCAGTGCATTTACTGCAATTTTCTCCTAATTCCAAATATTTTATCATTTTTAACATAGCCGAAACGTGTGCACAATATATCTCAATATTATAGAATTTGAATTTTGACTTGTCAAGTTTTCCATGCTTCGGTTTTTGTACTGCTGCCAGTGTGTGAATTTTAGATAATCTTTTTGTTTTTATTTATCCTCTTTGCTTAATTTAAAATACATAATTTTGAACGTCAAATCAATCAGCACTACATTTAAATGTATAAATTGTGTGTTTATAGGTTTTTACAAGTTTCTTTTCTTTTCTATTTCGGTTTTGCTTAAATTACACACTTTTTGTAGAGCCGTTTGAGAGCGCTGGTATTCATAAAGAAAATGAATATAAAGTGTTTACAAATTACGTTTACATATATACATTATTCACATGCATATATATGGATAATCGCCTCCTAGTACACAATAGAAAAAGGACATAATCCGTTCAAGGTTGAGTTTTAGTTGGTTTTAAAGAGTACAAATTATACGCTTATAGGAAAACTAGATTTAATTCTTTGTTGTCGCAGCAGCTCTCAAAAAGTGGCAAAATATATTTGCTTTGCGGTCGCTTGTTGTTTTGTTGTTAGTGTGCAAGTTACAAGTTTTACTGCTTGCTGGCCCATCCCCAGGCTCCATTGCCTCCGTTTTTGTGTAGTTTTATGTTGCAATTAACTGTAATGAGACATACGATTTAGAATACTTGTATCCTCTGACATGCGACATCACATACCGCTTTAACTGTGGCCTTTATGAAATCCTTCTTGTCTGTTAAATCGAAATCTGGGTACTTGGCATAGACTTGTTTGCACACTGTTTTCATAGTAATCTCTTCGAGATTGGCCTTGTCTAAAATTTCTTTGACATAGCCGCGTATTTGCTCGTCCTGCAAGGGGTATTTAAGATAGTCAAAATATAAATGGTATATATACAATTAACAATATAAGTGCTATTTTACCGTTGGGAATGCTAATTTGCCCTTTTTGTTCAATGGTTCATCCTCGTCGGACTCATCTTTGTCGTCAACATCTTCCTCCTCGGACGTTTCTTTCTTTGATTTCTTCGGTCGACCAGCGGCTATTTACAAAAAGAGTATATTAGTTAGGACTTCATCTATTAACATCCGATAATAGTTTACCCTTTCCAGCTGGTTTTGACTTATTGTTGGCTTTGCTATTTTTCGCAGGCGTTGTTGGCTTCTTACTCTTTTTGGGACGTTCATCCTACGATATTGAAAAGTTTTTTTTTTTGTTTATGTTCCTGTCATAAATCCTTTTAGTTGGTTTACTCACCTCGCTTTGTTCGCTGCCAAATTCAGACACTTCCTCTTCCTCTTCATCCTCCGATACTTCTTCTTCGTCACTCTCAGAGTCCTTGCGCTTTCGCGCAGAAGCGCCTCGCCCACGTCCTCGTCTACCAGCTGGAGTGCTCACAGCGGATCGGCCACGTTTTCCAGTAGCCGGTCGCTTGCGCTTCGGCACCTGCTGGAACAGAACGAATGCCATGAGAAATTTATTAAACAAGCTAATCTGGAAAAAAGGACTTACATCACTATCTGCATCTGATAGCTCTGATTCCTCTTCGTCTTCGGAATCTGAATTTCTTCGACGACTTTTACGAGCGGGTCGTCCGCGACTGCCCCGAGCTGAGAGCTTACGACCGGCTCCAGCTGCTCCACCAGCACCGCCGCCGCCGCGCCCCGCATCAGAATCTGAGTTACCCGAAGGATTGTACTGCAAGCAGAAAAAAATGTAGATTGGACTGAGGAGCTACATAATAAACTAACTTACATCTGAGCCGGATTCGGAGTCATCATTCCGTCTCCGCTTAGCCACTGTCACTTTGTGCTCGCTCTCCTCGGAGCTAGATAAATCTACATATGCAGACATTTCTGCAAATAAGGCAAAGAGTTTAAATCAAAGAGTCCATTCCATTAAATGTTTGGGCTTCACTTACTCTTGCCTGCCGTTGCACGTCTTGGACGTCCGCTGGAATTGCGAGCTGAGCCTCTGCCGGTACCTGCGCTTGCCTTACTGCTCTTGCGTTTCTTATCGTCTTCGCTGGCGGCCTCCTCGTCCTCGTCGACATCTTCATCGTCCACCTCCTCTTCTTCCTCATCACCCTGTTCTACACAGAGCGACTCATCCGGCTCCATTAGAAATTTGAGCACACGCGACGCAATCTCGTCCTTGCTGCCCTTGCGATCTAGCGTGAGAATTTCGCAGATACTACGCAAGGATTTGTTGTCCACCTTTTTGATGGACTCGTATTTCTTTTTGTACTCCGACGAATCCTTGGCAAACTCAAAGCCAGCAAACGAACGCAGATTCTTTTTCACCACATTGTTTTTTCCTTGTGCGCCAAAGCAGAGCTACATTACAATAGAGAAATGTAAATAACCATTACTCTCCCTAATCTTGTTAGATGTTGACCCCTGATCTCCGATAGGAACTTACCGAATGTAGCACCTGGAGCCCATCGACTCGCGTCTTGTTTATATTCTCATTAATGCGATCGATCTCTGCCAGGGCCACCACATTCTCGTCATCCTCTGCCACCTCGTTGTTCTCATCGAGACCATCGCCCTCGTCAGCGTCGTCGTCATCTTCCTCGTTTTGGTCCGACTTCTCCACCTTGCCGTTCTTGGCCTTGGATTCAGTCTTCTTGGCGACCGCTGACTTGTCCGCTCCTGCAGATCCAGACTTGGGCTTAGCACCATCTGTTGCATCATTTTTCTTCTTATCCGCTGTGGCTGTTGGTTTCTTCTCCTCATCGCTGACATCATCCTGGGTATCATCCACCTGATCCTCCTCACTTTCCTCCTCGTCTTCATCTGCATCTTCGTCATCCTCAGTCTTGCCTGCATTTTTCTTGGCGCCATTATTCACTTTCTTTGCTGAAGGCGGCGCTGGCGATGCCGCTTTTGTGTCCTTTTTCTCATCTGATGATGATGTTAAACAAAATTTTATTTATGATCTTATTACATGTATAATTTTTTAATTTACATTATTATTGGTCTACAATCATTTTGATAGTATACTATCATATCCGCAGCAAAAAAATATTCATTAAAAATAGATTCAAAGGACTCCAAATAATATCTTTAAAAAGATAAAATTATTGATATAATTAATTGTCTTCAAGCTTGGGAAGTCCAGTGCTATTTGATTTGGGAGCGCAAAGAACCATGAAATTGAAGTTTTAATCTACCTTAGCTTTTACTACACGAAACCATATTGGTCAGGGTTTAGCATGAACAATAGCCAAGGATATTCTATAAATACATTTTATTTATTAACTCAGATAAGAGAGAAAAGGAGCGTAAGCACCCACACTCCTTGCGCGGAGTTCGAACCGACCGCCATACGCAAACGATCACACATGTGCGCGGCATTTTAGACAGCAGTGCCACAGCCAACGCAGCAACAAATACGGCAAGCGACGAAATTGAATTGACAGCAACGTTATTCGCCGCGTTTTACGAAACGCGCGCAAAATTCATTTTATGAATTTTGTTTTTCTCGCTCTTTCTTTACACAACATACAGGCACGTACACATGCACGATTCAAGTATGTGTGTGTGTGTATGAATGTGCGAGTTTGTTTCTTTTATTTACCTGCATCCAATGTTGGCGCGGCCACAGCCGCTGCGTCTCCAACAGTTTTTTTATCAGCGACGTCATCAGTAGCGGGTGACGCTGCTGCGTCGCTCTCCTTCTCTACAGTTTTAGCTACCTCTGAATCGGGTGTAGTTGGCTCTATATTTTCTGGCGCCTTCGACTCGTTTACTACCTTATCAGCGGCATTTTCTTTGGTCGCCGTCTCCGCTTCTGGCGTTGTGTTGGCATCCTAGCGTAAATCAAAACAAGAGCAAGAAAAAAAAACAATTTAATCACACTTGCAAATTTTTGGCGCACTACCACTACCATCGGACTGTGCGTTGCTCGGCCGCTAGTTTATGCGTTTCAGTTCGTATTTTTTTTTTTTTTTTCAAATGTTTTAGTGCACACACAAGTTTTCTTTTGAGCTTTGCGTTTGTGTATGCGTGTCTATGGGGGCATTGGGCATGCACACGTTGTCCCGCTCACACGCACCGAAAACTAGACACAAGCAACATACAAACGCAACGACGCCATGTTTATACACATAAACGAATGGTCGCAGGGGAGAAGACCGATTTGTCGAGAGCAATATTTGTTGCGCTTTAGTTACACGATAAACACATTTGCATTCAGGAGTTTTTTTATGCGCGTTTGTGGCAAGCACTTTTAACTTGATTTTCAAATAATTTGCAGTATTTTACATACCATATTTTCAATGGTTTTATCTTTTTTTTCGTCAGCCGACATGCTTTTGCTTATGTGTGTGGCGTTAGGGATGAGTAAATACATCGATTACGATGCAATCTCGAAGTCGATAATTGGCGGCAAGATAAATTAAATTACAACATACCTCCAAATTACCCCTATTTAAGTTTCAGTCGAGTATTTAACAAATTTAAATGCAAAGTCTTTCACAAGCTGCTTAGACATTTTGCCAGCCATCATACGTGCTTTACTTTGTCCCTATAGCGGCTATCGATAATTCGCAAATGAGCTGCAATTGATTGGCACTCACATGCAGACGCGTGCACAACATTTGCAACTAAAAGCGCGCGCTGAGTATTCGTCTAGCGAAATCAGAGTAATAAAAAATAAATCAACACCGAACAAGCACACATTAAACAATTATCATGGGTATTTTGGGTTTATCGAAGCTTATTGCGGATTTGGCTCCACAGGCCATTCGTGAAAGTGAAATTAAAAACTTTTTTGGTGAGTGTGCATCCATTGCAAGCAATGCATTTATTGAATAGCTAAAACCAATTTCAATCGCAATCCAGGTCGCAAAGTGGCTATTGATGCCAGCATGTGCCTGTATCAGTTTCTCATTGCGGTTCGGTCGGAGGGCGCCCAGCTAGCTACCGTCAATGGTGATCCAACCTCACATCTCATGGGCATGTTTTACCGCACCATTCGGCTGCTGGATAATGGCATAAAGCCGGTCTACGTTTTCGATGGACAGCCGCCAGATTTGAAATCTGGCGAACTGGCGAAGCGCGCCGAACGGCGAGAGGAGGCCGAAAAAGCGCTGAAAGCGGCAACAGAGGCGGGGGATGAAGCGGAGATAGACAAATTCAATCGTCGCCTGGTGCGCGTCACTAAGGAACATTCGCGCGAGGCTAAAGAGCTACTCAAGCTCATGGGTGTTCCCTATGTAGACGCACCGTGTGAGGCTGAGGCCCAATGTGCTGCTCTAGTTAAGGCCGGCAAAGTATATGCTACGGCAACGGAAGATATGGATGCGCTAACCTTTGGATCTTGCAAGCTTTTGCGCTATTTGACCTATAGCGAAGCGCGCAAAATGCCTGTCAAGGAGTTTAGCTATGACAAGGTGCTGCAGGGGCTTGAGCTGACGAGCAAAGAATTTATTGATCTCTGCATTCTAATGGGCTGTGATTATTGCGAGAGCATTAAGGGCGTCGGACCTAAGCGCGCCATAGAGCTGATCAAAAGCTATCGAGACATTGAGACCATTTTGGAGAACATTGACACCAGCAAATACCCAGTGCCAGAGAACTGGAACTACAAGCGAGCTCGCGAGCTCTTCATCGAGCCAGATGTGGCCGATGCCAGCGCTATTGACCTAAAGTGGACCGAGCCCGATGAGGATGGCTTGGTTCAGTTTTTGTGCGGCGATCGCCAGTTTAACGAGGAGCGCGTGCGTAACGGTGCCAAGAAATTGCTCAAGTCTAAGCAGGCACAAACGCAGGTTCGCCTTGATAGCTTCTTCACGACACTGCCTAGTACTCCCAATGCAAGCACTAGTGCTGCCAAGCGCAAGGCCGAGGAAGCCAAGAAAAGTGCGAATAATAAGAAGGCTAAAACAAGTAGCGCTGGACGCGGCAGAAGGCCAAAGTAATTAGCGTGAGTGTTCCTAAACAAAATACAAGTTTCTTTAATTTAACCAGCAAAACTTTTTGCTACACTTTAAACTTACATACTAATTGCGTAACATTACAAAACCTTTTGAAGCTTATCTTTAATTGGTCTTCCTTGTGGGCTTGGTCGTGAATGTAGTTTGTAGCTAGGATGGGGGTTACCCCGCCTGTGACTACAGCAAATACTGCTTGGCCAGGGCGCGTAAGAAGCGCGACTTGCGTACCATTGCGCTTTCCCGTTTGATCTCCTCATTGTTGTTGGCATTTAGCTCCAAGGTGCCCATCATTGAGATCTATAGCACCGCAAGTAAAAGATGTGACCATTAATATAACTATGAAATGTGTCTAATCAAGCGTTTTCGTTTTGACGTACCGCCTCAAGTTTTCGACTGTGTTCGCCTCGTTTCGCGTGTAGATTTACGATAAATTCGAGGAGTGTTGTGTCCCATATGCAGCTGTAGTATGCATCCATGGCATCTGTGAAGTTAGATGACTTTTCGCTGAGATTCTTGAAGACAATTCCATAGTCGATCTCGTCTAGAAATTGACAAAGAACGGTGGCCTGCATGTGGCAGCCCAAATTGGCGGCACACCTAATCATCTTCCTAATCACATAGTCATCGGCCACGTTGCGCTGTAGCGGCATGGTGCAGTAGTCGGTACCCGTGACCAGGGCGTTAACGTAGCAGCGCATGGCAGACTCATTATTGCCAATAGCGAGCTCTAGATCGCCCTTCATTTTTAGCCAGGAGATAGTCTGCGGATAGTAGCTGAGTGCCTCGGAAAGCAGCCACTGCAGCGTCTCACATACACTTCGCAGACTGTAGCTGTTTAGGCTGGAAGAATAAGTTGAAGTTAGGAATTTGTTATTTAGAAATCAGAATACTCCTACTTGTTGATGCTGGTGGGCCAGAGCTGCATGTATTCACAGCTTAAATCGTGATTGGGGTCGTCTTTCAGTATGTTGTGCATTTTTCCAAGCATAGAAATAGCAAGTCCGAAAACACTTTGGTGGCGCACACGTTGCAGAAATGCTTGAAGCGAGCTGCTGGCGCCGCTGCCAGCGCCTGATGACGCACGCTTGGGCACATTGAGAAACAAGCTGAGCATCAGTTCCCAGGCATCGCGACACACCTTCTTGGGCCCCTTCATCTTTTCCATTTCAATAAATGTGGCTGCAAAGGCCAACGGTAATTCCAACTGCTGCGCCCGTTTGTCTAGGTAAAGAAGTGGCGGGAAGTCCGTTAGATTCAGCAGCATGATTGCGCAGCTCTCGAGAATTTCCAGTCTTGGCATCATTGAATCACCCGCCTGCAAAGCGCCCAAGCATTGTTTGCAACGCGTGCCAAGCGCTTGCAGGTCGAGTGGCTTCTGATGCCATTCATCCAAGCACTGAGTGATCTGTATATGCAGTATTTCCCAAGTTATCAGCTTGCACATCAACTGCGCACTGCCACCCAGTTCCTGACGTTGCGTTTCAGACTTAAGCACACTCAACATTGAGACCGCATCAATGTAGTTACCACGGGCCGCCAGTTCCCGTGCCTTTCCCAATAGTACGTAACTGAAGTCTTGCAGAAAACTAACCGGCATTGCCATGATAAGTGTTTTTAGCGGCTGTGGCACATCCCAGCTGGGATTGATTGCCCACAGCGGCTTACCAGGTGCCGTGCCGCACAGTTTGACCAGTAGAATCCGCACACTGTTTGCATTCGTGCAGGTGATCAACTGACGCTCCAGCGCAGCAACATCCACGCGCGTCACTGTAATAGAGACAATCAGTGGAAATCAATTCGTACCAAATTGTTGGGTTGAAAAGACATACTTTTTGAATGGCATATCCAATCGTTGAGTGTAGCCAATGAGTTACTAAGCACTGGTAGCGCCGCCTGGACTAGCTGCTCATCCAAATCGACCAGTTCCTCTTTAGAAAATATACCCATTCCTCGCAAAGTGTGTAGCAGCTGTCGACTTTGTTCCAGCTGCTGCTGTTGCTGCTGATATAGGACACAATCAATAAGAAAATGTTTGAGTGCCGTCTGCTCTGAATGGCTGCAGTGTGTCAGAGCATCTTGCATTGCCTCCACAAAGGGTGGCATGTAGTCCAAGTCATGGTACTTCTCAAAATACTCCACGCTCCCAAAAATATTGCCCCATTCGAACACAGTGCGCACTACATTTAGGGCGGCAACTTGCAGCAGCAACTGGCTCGTCTCCTTTAGCAGTCCGGTAGAGATCGCACCTTCAATGTCTAGCTCTACGTTTCGCCGGCTCACCAGTGGAATCTCACGCGCACGATTGTCTAGGCGCAGTATAGACACAATGTCCGTATAGCTGTTGAGCAGGGATTGATGAAAGCGTTCCAGTAGTGTCTGCTGTTGTGCGCTGATGCCACAAGCCTGCAACAGACCCTCCAACTCCGTGGGTCGAATGTGGCAAAAAAAGCGCGTCATTCCAGGTGGCAGCGCTTGAAGATTGCTGTTGCAGCCGGCGGCTGAATCACGCGCCAGCACATACTGCTTGGTGTGGAGGTAGTAATGGGCCAGCTCGGACTGAAGCTGGGCGCGCAGTTCTTGTGGAGTGATTAAGTGCATCATGTCGAAGTTCTGTGCGGTGCTTAGTGTGTCGCACTGCAGGGCCACAAAGCTGTCGTAGTGGAACACATGAAAAGGTTTCGTGGACGCTGATGAGCACAGTTGCTCCAGATATTCGATGGAGGGTTGGGTGGGTGTGTCCAAAAACTGTTGTAGCTGATCAACCGCCTGAAACCTGCCATTAGAAGCGAAACTATTAAATCTGGCCGTAATTGTGCCTAAGACTCACATAAGGGGACGCGGACTCTTCAGTGCGCTGTCCTTAATGAGCTGCAGCCGAAGTATCATTCGATGGTAGATAGTCAGTGCAAAGCGCGCAGCACGCTCGTTTCCAGAGGGTGCTGAAAAACACAAGCACACTCAATATTACACAGGACGCAAGTGCGAAAAAGGCAACATACAAATCTTGAAATCAAAATCGTTTGCGAACGGAATGCTGACGACGCGACCATAGCTGATGGTGCATAGATCGCGTAGCAGACCCAGCTGCATAAGCACGGGTAGGCCTTTCTCTAGCGCATCCAGATCCCACCTGAGCCAAGTGGCTACCTTCAGCTCGAGAATTTTTAATGCCAACTGTTTGCGCGTCAACTGCAGATGCACATCTCCCTGCCGTTGCTGCTGGGCTATGAGTGGCACATTTAGTGCTGCTGAGGCCGCAGGCGTGGTGGCATTGGCGCCGACGCTGGCGCCGGCTAGGTTCTGCAAATCGCTGCCCGGCGTGACCACAGTTGATGCTATCGCGGTGTCCGGCGTCATGCTGATAAACTGCATGATTAACTCCACGGCACTGGGCTCTGAAAGTATGTGAAATAATGTTGCCA